GAAAAATGAATTGGAATATGTAATAAAGCATTCGTTAGCATTTTAGAAATTGGTGATATTGACAGAATAGGCGTCTTCAGAAACAAATGCTTTGATAAAACAGATACTTATGTTAAAATATTCTAGGAAATATATGAAAGTGAGTATGAACCGTATTAAGAATAAACAAGAAATAGTAATGACGAACCTTTGCCGGACACGAGAGGCATGTCTAGCATGACCAATCGACCAAGCAAATTCTGATATGCGGGAATCCGGCTAATTTCATTAGGCTTCGAGTGGTTGCCCGATTTTTCTGTAGATTTAGATGGCGTTTCTGGCTTTCCACCTTTTCTCGGACGGATTTGAGAGGATAGTGATTTATTACACTTGGGATTAGAGCCGTGAGAAGGGTTTGGTCCACAGATATTACTACCCTGAAGACCACGAGATTCAGATTTTAACGGGGAAATTTCTCGATGCTCAAAACATTGATATGCTCCATCAATTGGAAGCAACTGAAAATCTTCTGATAAATCTTGTTTTTTTTTAGAGTCATTCAAAGAAGCTTTGGTCGAGAGATCTAAGTCGGGCAAGGCAACACTGCAAACCTTGAGTTCAGGATCTTTATCTACCTCCGAATCATCCGACTCACCAGTTTCGGTACCACCACCACTGAAAGAAAGATTTGGTAAGGTTACAAGCAAAATGTTCTCGTGTATAAATGCGAAAGCTTACCTTGAACGACGTTTCCTTCGTCGATCTATCACGGGCTGCTTAAATTGCTCAGGATTTGTGAGGGGCAACTGGTCAAGTGACTAATAAAAATATGCATTAGAGAATCGAAAGTAAAAGCGCTAGGAAATGTGAGCAAAAATACCTCGCTTTCTTTAAAATGTCTTTCTCCTTTGATTACTAGCTGCGTCCTCCTTAGGGACCGCTTATCACCATCATCGAATACTGTAAAATATTTTATATGTTAATTTATAAACAAAAATGTAAGATGTTTTTTTTATAGAATTTCATTGAAAATAATTACCGACGGTATATGTACTCATGTCCAAAATTCTCAAAATCACTGCGGAAAAAGGTTCAGAGCAGCCAGCTGGTTTAACCATTATTTCAGCGTTGGGTTCAAGCTTTCCAGAAACCATAGCTGATTTATCTACAGACAATACCGTCTAAAAATAAAATCCAAATGTAAAAAAGCAAAATTGAGGGAAATATCGCGAAAATATCGTTACCTTGTTGTGTTTAGCCTGAACTCGAAGTCGACAGTTGGGCTCAACTTTTTCGACGGTTGCTTCACAAAATGCTCCTCGATACTTAGCACTGACAGCTGTACCAACACATAAGAAAATTGGATTCGGTGGAGGATCACTTGACTCTAGGCCTCCAACAGTCTCTCCCGAGCTGATATTTACAGATATGAAAGCCTTAATACGAATATTAAAAAAACCCAATTCGAAAAGTTTCATAATGATGAAACGAAGGATTAAAACTCATAAAAAAATATAGTTTGATTTAGCATATAAGTAAGTTGAAT